ACAGCAGGTCTCTGGGCACAATGCACGCACCACAATGGGATTTCAGGGCCCCCAAACCACTGACTCACCCACAATTTGCAGCGTCGAAATCCCATTGACTCAGTTCATCCGTGGTTGGTGCTGGTGCTTTCCGCTTTTATGGTGTAGCTTCGTCAAATCCTTGACACACCGTCAGGATTCATCTCCATTCGGAAGCCTCAGCAAACGTCGGATGGACACGGGGATCAGACCAAGGGAGGGAAGAGAGGGAGCGAGAAGGAAATAAAAGAGAAAGTGCTGCTCGGAGATTTCTGCAAGCTGCTGAGGTAGTCAATCAGCCATTTAGTAGTAACTATATTTACTTTAATTCCTCTTCAAAAGCCCACAGAGGCGTACGGCAGATAGTGTCTTTATTACATGGTGGGATGAAAAGAGGAGCGGCTTTAAAATTAAGTTTGTTTCATGTTTTTCATTTTTGCAGATGAGTTTTTCTCATTGATGCAAAGGCTAGTCAGAGGAAGCACTTGTTAATCAGAAACCCCGACGCCTTTCTTTCTTTTTTTTTTTTTTTTTTGCCTAAAGAGAAAGAAAACAGAGTAACCGGCTGTAGGTCTAGCAGAGTGGAGAATTATTTGCCAGTGAGGCAGGGGCTTAGAATAAAATCCCCATCCATCTTTACAAGTTCGGAAAACAAACGCAATCTGGTTGAGCAAACCCATTAGAAACCGCCGTGTTTGTCTGCTTCAGAAATGCAACGCTTGTGCAAGAGCTTACACAGGATTAAAGTGTTTACCAAAACATCAAGGTCCTCTGCACTGACTTTACCGGAGACCCCCTTAACCGCGGCGATCCCCTCCCTTCCCATCCAAGTGCTCTGTTGATATAGCGCAAAGCTAACAGTCGCTGTTAGCTGTTAGCCAAGAATGAAGTGGAAGCATGCAAACAAGGCCGAGACAACAAGAGCAGGAGTCGGGCAAATAGAGCCTTGGATGAAATCACTTACTCCGCGCTGCCACTGTTTATCTAACGGGGGCAAGCGTTTTGGTTCCGTTATTGGAATATTGTCATGCAACACGAGCGGTCGCTGTTAGCGGAGGAGAAGATCACAGTAATGCCTCAGAAAAGCCGTCGTGCATCATGTCAGACGTTCTCCGGAGCGCGGCCGGCCGGTCGGGAAATTCACATTAAAGATGTCACTGTTGATGATGCGGCGTCCGTACAGTGCGACGGATGCCGTATTTACTCAATAATGCTTTAGCTCACAGGCCCGATTTTTTCGTTTTTTTGTTGCTAAATGAATGAGGTTTGTGTAAACCGCCCCTGCCTGCAGAGGAGGAACCAAAACCTGATATGTGAAGACAAATGTGCACATCTCCTTTAATTCACCAGAGGCATAAATAAACTCGCCACCCTGCGCCCTCTTGTGGAACTCCAGATGTTTATCTGTCAAACGAAGGCTGTTGGTTATGCGCATAACACAAAGCATCTAAACATTTGATAACAAAACAAAAAAAAAAGTTGCTCATTAATTACCACCCTGCTCCCCCCCTCCCCTCTTGATTAATTAACGAGCGTGGTGGGCTTAAATGCCACATAATGTTGGTTATACATCACCCATGGTGCACCTTCCTCCCCCCCCCCCGATAACTGCTAATGAATGGTTTTATTTGCTTGAGAAAATATCCCACAGCCCTTGGTGGCAGTGACCTTTACTGACCCCTTCTTAAGGCCTTTCCCCCTCTCACCTGTCCCCTGGCTTGCTGTATTGTTATTGTATATTACTCTCCCTAAATGCAACTTACTTAAGCATGCATTAACCCAACTTCTGATAGTGGAACTAAAAAAAAAAAATCCAAAGAAAACCAATCAAACGTGTCTGATTTTTTGCCTCTCTTTCTCTGACGTACATCCAGATTGCACGCCCTGTCCTGTGTTTTAAAATACTAACAAGAGAAATGTATTGAAGTAACTAATAATAAAGTGTTTATTATTAGTTAAACGAAGGTGGTGACACTTTGCCTATAAACTGTCCCCCCCTCTCTTTGTCTGCCTCAGTGTGTGCTTTCTGGTTGTTCATCTTTGATAGTGTGAGAAATTTGATGCCTTTCTTTCTTGCTTGCTAATCTGTTTTATTATCATTTTTGTCTTCTTTTTTTCTTTTCTTTTCTTTTGTACATATATGTCAGTACACATATATGTGACTCTCTCTGTTTCTTTTCTGAAAAATGTTCAAATTTTTAACTGCTAATTTGCTAAGAATTGCCAATGTTTTAATGATTTCTTCCCCCCACCCCTCTAATTAGAATGAAGCTTCCTCTTTTCTCTATGAATTAATGACTGTTTCATAAGCAACAGAAGGCTTTTTAAAGATTGGATAACAAAACCAAGCAGCTGTATTGGGATTTTCAAATTTAAAAAAAAAAAAAAAACGCTCTCATAGAGAAAAAAGAGAAGACACTTCCAAAGTAGACCCTTTATCTGTGAAAAAAAAACTGTTCCAAACTGTTTCTATGCTGATCTCTAATATTCACCTGTCACTGAGTAGCTTTCTCTTAATCGAAATTTGGATTTAATCGATGAATGAGTCTGTTGATTTTTTGTGCATGGCAAAGAAGTTGCAGCTTAGGGTTTGTAAAACTGTCAGTGTTGAGAGTGCTGTTCTCTTTTGTAGATGGGCATGTATATGCTCATTGTTTGTATATCCCCATCCCTTCCTTACAGCCAAAAGCTCTAATGCCGCCCGACCGCTTCGTGCCGCCTTTACATGGACATGGCAACTGATGTACACGTTCACCCCCATCTATGTCATTTCCTTCCTAGTATGTTCATAGGTCCCACCCCGTCTCACACTCCCTCCTCCCGAACCCTTTACGTAGAGATTCTAAGATATGTACAGTCATCCATTTGTTCATAAATGATGAACAAGTTAAAAAAAAGAAAAAAATATTTTAAAAAAAGAAAAGAAAAAAAAAGAGTCATCCAATCAGGCTGTAGATATTTATGGAGAGACTTATCAATCAGAATTATAGATATACCGTTTTCTTTTTTATACAAATGATTATCAAAAGAACAAAAAAAAAAAAAAGATATCCTGAACAGAATGGTGAAGATTATTTTTCATGTCATGATGTGTGGATGTATGTGTTGTTGCCTCCCTGTGCCATCCTGTCTAAAAGAAAAAAAAAAAAAAAAAAAAAGAGAGAGAGAGAAATATATACTACTTAATCAGAAACTGTTAAAAAGAAACTAACCTAACTTGTCCAAAGGCATTCTTACACAACTTTCTTTTGTAAATTTTTTTTCTTCCTGCCAAAATCATGCGGGCAATTTGTTGATGTAAGTTGACAAAACTGATGGTATGCTTTCTTCCTTTGAAAACTGTTTTTTTTATTTTTTTTTCCGTAGGCTTTTATGATTTTCCGAGCTTTGTTTTTTTTATTATTATTATTTTTATTTTACCTGTTTTTCTACTTACTAATCCTTTTTCTGGATAGCTCTATCTGTGGCTTTACTTTGTGAATGTTTATTACAATGTTTGCTCTAACTCTGAACTCTTTTTGCAATGCCTTAATTATTATTATTTCTTTTTTTTTTGGGTTCCCTCCGTTCCGGTGGGGTTTTTCCGTTTCTTTTCTTCCTTTCTTTCTTTATTGTTCCAAGAGGTTTGCATCTCTTTATAGTGCCCTGTTTGTGAGCCTTTGCAATGTACAAACAAGCCACTTTGGCAAGAGGATAAGCAGCTTCAATGGACATCTGAATGTTTCAAACTCTTTGTTGTAGTCGAGCCACTTAACTAGTAAAGCGGAATTGATTAATTAGAAATAGTGGGGGGGTGGTGGGAGCGTGTTTATGTCCTTTTTGGTCTTACAAGCTGAATAATGAAGTAATTTTTTCAAAATGGAGAACACAGGCTGTTACAAGCCGGATTCTAGTACAAGCGAGGAAACATTCAGGTGTCAGTGAACTGCCCGGTGACTTTGTGCCACTGTGGTAACTGTAGGGGTCAAAAGGCAAGAGGCTAGGGCAAATAGGGGAGCCCACTAATGCTGAGGGAATAAGCTCACTCAATCACTCAATGTGAGTGGTGCTTTTTGCTGGTAGCGTTTTCTTTTGCAGGCAGTCGAAAACCTGAATCAGGTTTTTAAGAGGCACTTTCACTTTAAGGCACTCGGAGTTTAAAAAGAAATACCGTTCCTTTATTTGTTTTTCTGTCATTTTTCAGCTCTGTGATGCAGGAGCTGTTAGAATTTGTTCGCCCGTGTAGGTCAGCAGGGTTAAAAAGCTCCTCTCCGAGCAGCTACAGTGTATGAAACACCTTACAAATAGTTTCTCATTTCAGACTTAGTTAACTTGCTTTCAGGCCCACAATCTCGCACTTGAATTGCAAACAAATGCTAATAGCCTCTGCTGCTTTTTATCCACAAAGCGCAACGACGGGCGCTTATAGTTTTTGAGCGGACTGAAAAGAATTCGCATGAAGATAAATGAGATATGCCTCTTAAAAGCCTGACCTAGTCATTTATGTGGAGATAAATGCAGAAATACTGGTTCGAACTCGATACGGGGCCATAAACTGTATCACACTTTTATATGCAATCATGATAAACGTAAATACAGCACATAGAACATAGTATAACCATGACTACTGCAGTTTGTACTACATTATAAATGTAGCTCCTGAGAGCATGTCGGACACGTAGGAGTTAACATGAGGCGTCAGTGTAACGTGGCTCACCCTTGTGCATCCCTCAAAGCCTTTTGATGCAATGTATACTTGATTTATGGCTGTTGTTTTCTTTCAGTTTGGGTCTTGTTTGGTTCTGAGTTTCATTGTTTTTGCACTGGTACAGTACTTTCTGTTCTTTCTTTCTTGGTTTATCTTCAGTTTCTTTTCTCCCTTTGTTGAGCTTTGCTTTATACATTCTTTGTTTACCATTCTTTTGGTGTTTGACTGCTTCTTGCTTTGCTAATGGAAGCCTTTCCGCCCTCTGACTGGTGTCTCTCTCTGTTTCGCTTTGCAGGAGGGGAGCTAGTCATCCCCGTGCTAGTCGAGGACCCCATAGACATCCCTTCTGTATCCACCCGTTCTCCCTTCATCCCCCTCCCCCCAACCCTCCGCCCCGTCCTCACCATTATTGAGACCACCAAAGAATCCTTGGCCATGGCCACTGAGGCGGGGGTACCTTGCTTGTCGGACCGAGGCAGCGATGATTGTGATGATGGTGATGGTGGTGATGATGGTGATGATGATGATGATGATGGCATGGTGATTTCGGGGTTTGGCTCTGGCGAAGCTTTCGACTCTAGCCTGCCCCCGACTGACGATGAAGATTTTTACACCACCTTCTCCCTGGTAACAGATAAGATCTTGACCACATCGGCCTATGAAGGCGGCTACAATGCCCTCGCGCCCAAGTGGGAGGCCAAGGACTTGAGGCCTAGCAAAGCCTCTGAGGCAGGTAGGACTACACCCACCTCGCCTCTGCCCGACCTCCGGGGCACGCCGCCGGCGGCGGTCCCCTCAGACACGCCACCCAAGCTGCCCGCCGGGAAAATGAACAACCGCGAGGTAAAACCCCCACAGCCGGACATAGTCCTGCTGCCCTTGCCCACGTCCTTCGATCTGGACGGCACCAAGCCACGGGGCCCCTTCATCACCTCGCCCATGCTGCGCACGGTGCCTGCCGCCTTGCCCACGGTGCCCGGCGTGGTACGGCGGGTGCCCCCGGGGGCCTCAGAGGTGATCCGGGAATCCAGCAGTACCACGGGCATGGTGGTGGGCATTGTGTCAGCCGCCGCCCTCTGCATCCTCATTCTCCTCTACGCCATGTACAAGTACAGGAACAGGGACGAGGGTTCCTACCAGGTGGACGAAACACGCAACTACATCAGCAACTCGGCGCAAACCAATGGCGCTGTGGTGAAGGATAAAACACCCAGCGGCAGTGCCAAAGGCAGCGCCAGTAGCAAGAGACCGAAAGACAAGGACAAGGAATATTATGTATAGAAATCAAGTCATTTCCCAACACATAAAAAATAAACTGTTTGGAACAAAGTATAAACATTTTGACAGTACCATATTGGCAACTGTGATTTAAAAAGAATAAAATCTCTTGAGAACTCAAGACTTACTGAGTCGCTGAAACATTTACAAAAGAACTTTGGCTTATGGAAGCACACTTACTATTGTAAGCATTACAGAGAGACAATGCAGTAACTTCATCGGGACTCAGCGTGGACATTTTTAATGAGTCCCTGCTGGAGACAGTGTGAATAACATCACTCTAACACCCACACGACCCCAAGTGACTGTCAAGAGGTGTGTGATCCTTGGAGTTCTAATGACCTTGTCCATTGTAACCCTGTAAAATACGATCACTGTCATTTCGGCCATTCTGAGCATGCATGTGAGGTGTATGTGACGTGGTGCTGGCATCTGTGTAAGTGAGGGACCTCAAGAAACAATGATTGTCGGGAAAGTTGGAAGTCAAAACCTGATTTCGCGGTTTCATTAAATGTAGCTTTCATGGATGCGATATGAGGTAAAGTATACGTGTACTTTAAGCTGTCTTTTTATTTCTATCTTTTGTTTAGTTTTTTTATTTTATTTTATTTATTCATTCAGTAATTTATTTATTTATTGAATTTAGGTCTGTTTTTTGGAAGGAAGAGGGCCAGTCAGGGTTGACTAGGCAGTGCTCAGTGACCGCTCAGCAGGATGTGATACAGTAATGTATCTCAATATTCTTCTCTCCCTCCCTCACGTCTCAGTTAAGGATTGGACTGCTATGCATGGCATCCAAATTCTCGATTGTGTTCAAGCGTGCAAGAGTGGATCCACCAGGCAAAATGTACAACGCATTGTTATTTCTCTGAATTTTAAATCTCTGATAGCGTTTTTCTTTCTCTTCATTTCACGTTTTTCTTTTTTTTTACTTTCAGTTTTCTTTACATTTCCTAATATGCCGTGGCAAAAATGCATTACCATAATTTGTGTCTGGCGAAGATGTAATTGTCACAACCTTTGAAAAAAAAAAAAAACAGAGAAAAAAATCCAGGCTAAAGACTTACTCCAGTGTGATCAAGTGTGATTCTATCTGTTGTCACAGATGACTGTGTCAAAAACAGCAAATATGTTTACATATTTTATTACATCTAGCCGTTGTGCTTTGCAGGTCAATATTGTACAGAAAATTCAACTTTCTGTTGAGGTTTTTTTTTTTATTATTTAAAATCCTCTCTCTTGTATAGACAACAAATTTGATTTGATTTTTCTGCTGTAGCAACATGACAAAAAAAATCATTTTGATTCCTTTGCCAGGATCGCCTGGAGATAAGAAATGATGTGCACAGGAACATTTGTTTAGGCAGGGAGCAAATGTTGTTAGATTAGAAGTCTAGTCTCTCTGGATGGTGTTTCTCTTCAGTCGCATGAATATTTGACCATCGGAAGCTGTCAGTCAAATAGAAAACACCTCCCTCAGCTCTTGTATTAGGGACTCCTCCTTCTTCTGAAATTACTTTCATCATGTCATTTATTTTTTTATTGGAAATTTAAAAAACAGAACAAGTGAATAAAGACAGATTATGATGGATTTGGAGATCTATTGCTAGCACCTTACTGACTTACAGGTGTTTTTCTGTTTCTTTTTTCTTTCTTATCTTTTCTTTTTCTTTCTTTTTTTTAACTGTGACGTCAACGTCTTGTCTGCTCAACTCGTCTTTTTTGCATTTGATTTCTTTTTTATGTTAATGTATAGCTAATTTCATGTCTCATTTATATGACATTATCTTCCGGCAGTACGTTGTTTTTTTTATGTCATTATTTATTGCTGAAATTATTTGTTCTCATTTATTTTCATGCAAATCAAGTCAGTCGGTGTGTATGTTCACTTTGATTTTTTGTGTTGGTACTTGGCTTTTTTGACCAGTTAATTATTGTCTTATGCTCCTTTGACTCCAAACAGTTCCCAGAAATAAAAAAAAAATGTTGTTCCCAAACTTTTTTTTGGATGTTAGACTGCGGGTTGGCTGTCAATCACTCATCCATGTCGTGGTGTGAAAGCAGGAGATAATGCTGCAAGAAGATGGAGATAGATGCCATCGAGACTATTTGTTATCACTTCACTGATTTCCTTTTATACCATAAAGAGTTTTATCATTTCTATTCAAATGAAGACCAGGGACCAGAGTAGCTATCATTTACCTATAGATGATTATGCAAATTCACACACTGTTCATCGATGCAACAAGAGAAAAAGGGATGAGGGGAGGAAATGGGTATTAGAGGGTCCAGAGTCTTCGCAGCGTTGGAGGAATGGCTCTGGGTTTCTTTAGAGTCAGGCCTTTGTGAGAGTGCACAGCCAAATGAGATTCTTCACAACCATATGGCCGGGTTATGAGCTACTCAATGGCGGCAGCACCTGCTTTCCAAGCTCGTTTTTACACTGTCCATATTTCGTGCAAATGGGCCTTCACAGAGCTGGTCATTAACTTGCAATAGCCCATTGATGTGGGATATCAGAGCACCGTGTGTGAGTATATCCAGCTCACACAATGACTACATATTAACTCATTCATCCTGCCACAGGCAATCGGAACAAGGAGGCCAGCAGGGATTCGTTCAACAGAGGGACTGCTTTTTTTTTTTCTTTTTTTTTTAACACACTCTGAGGCAGCGAGATTCTTTTTCTTTATTTCCCCACAAAAAAAATGTGTGGAAATTTGTTCTGCGTAAGTCAACACAATAAAAAGTTAATGTGCGAGGAAACAACATTCATTTTAACAAGCAGCGACATTCAATCCACACTTCATCTCGCCGCGAAAGTGCCTCACAAAGGCAGAGAGCAGTAAGTACAGAGGCAGCGGAATCTGTATGTGAATGGTTTCATTCATATGACAGTGAGGAGAATTATCACCAGACTCTGTGGTTCAGCTCCGTTGTAAAAAAAAAAAAACAACCACAAAAAAAATATGTCTTCACTTTATGAGCCACTTATTACTCGGCTATTTAGTTAAGTAACTGTCACATTCACAGTGCTGATTTAAAACTCAAGCACTTCTCCCCCTGATGCCAGTCAGAAACGTTTTGTGGGACGGACTCACAACTTCAAGATGCTGAGTAGAAATCTGTGGAGCAATTCTGTAACACCAAAGTTAACAGTTGTGTGATCAGTCTATCTCTTTGTAAACCTAAAAACATCCTGCCAGTTTCACTGATATAATTGTGGTGTTGTGAAACTGTTTGCACTTTTTAAAACTTGTTTTGGGTCAAAGTTACCAACCTTTTAAGCAGGTTTTTATACAATTTTTTTTGTGACTCTATACATGCAGTTTCTACATACTGCTCCTTCCGAGTTCATTTAGACATGAGGCCTGCACGATAAAGCAAATCCAACCTAGCCAGGATAACTATCTATCATCTTCTATCATCTGGTTTAATCTAAAAACTGCAGCCCTGTTATGGGGTCACACAAAGCTCATTATGAATCTCGCTATGAACATGTTTTCATTAAAGGAACAGTCTTGGCAACAGATGAGCAATCGCAAACAGAATAACAAACTATAATCTCACACCAATATGAGGAATTTAAAAATATGATACAGACTAGAAGTATTGCAGCTGCTGCCAAAGTAGAAAGCAAAACTGCTGTGAACATGTAAATTAATGGGCTTACCCATATCACAGTCCAATTATTAAGGCATTAGTAGATCTGACTACGATAACAATTGAAACAACAAAAAAGCAAAAAGCACATCCAATCAACTTTTTGTTGCTTGGATTTCTAATCCAAGATTGTAATTTTGAAATTTTCATTATGCACCAAAAGAACATGTAATCAGATGACAATTCCTAATGTAGAATGTAGGAAAAAAAACAACTGAATTGTCAGCTACCAAATGAAGAGACCATTTACGGTACATAAAATAATAAAGTGTACTAGTATAATATATATTATTTACAGTCTGTAGGGGAGGTCAACCAATCAGGACTCTGATCAACTCTTGACTGACCAATCGTTACAGCGACAACACCGTACGAGTCAAAGAGAGGATTTGTGAACGACTGTAGAGATGAATTGGAGTGGGTGCAGTAGAAGGAAGGGAAACGATCTGCACCGTCTACCGGGGCGACACAACATGGCTGACAGGTAAGTGATGTTAGCTAGTGACCATTAGCAGTCGCGTAATTCATTATAACACTGTAATTTTTTACTCTACACTCTCCTATATCCATTAATAATAATGTAATCAAAGAACCAAAGTAGAAAATACTGACCAGCTTTCAGTTGCATTGACCCAAAATTAGAGTTTGAGTTTAGCTAAGCTAAAAACGAGGCTAGCTGGAGGTAGTAAGCTAGCAAGCCAAGTTTGATACCTCAGAAAGGGGAGGCAGGGATTCGCCCAGGCTGTGTACAACCAGGGAGGAGAACTGCTACCCACATTGGGGATCTTGTCGAGGGGTGGAAGGGGCACTTCGAGGAACTCCTGAACCCGGTAAACACGTCCTCTGCTGAGGGGGCACAGCCTGAAGACTCGGGGGTTTCTGCGTCCATATCCGTGGTAGAGGTCGCCAAGGTAGCTAAGAAGCTCCTTGATGGCAAAGTGCCAGGTGTGGACAAGATTCACCCTGAGATGCTGAAGGCTCTGGACATTGTCGGACTGTCATGGCTGACATGTCTCTTCAGTGTCGCGTGGGCATCGGGTATGGTGGAGTGGCAGACCGGGGTGGTGGTTCCCATAGTGCTGGAAAGGAGGCTCCAACCAATTGTCGAACCTCGGTTTGGGGACCTCAGGATCGCGTCCCTGCTTTTTGCAGACGATGTGGTACTGCTGGCTTCATCAGACCGTGACCTTCAGCATGCACTGGAGCGGTTTGCAGCCAAGTGTGAAGCGGCAGGGATGCGGATCAGTGCCTCCAAGTCTGAGGCCGTGGTTCTCTGCCGGAAACCGGTGGATTGCCACCTCTGGGTGGGGAGGGAGTTGCTTCCTCAAGCGAGGGAGTTT